CTCAGACTACTGACTTAACCTGTTCTCTGTCTCTCTGTTTTCCAGTTTCAGGTCTAAGAAGTAGAAAAATCTATGTATGGAAATGAAAACTCCTCACTTTATTAAGGCTGTGGTTGAAAATGAGAGGAAAGGTTGAATGACTTGTCCATTGGCCTGTGACAGAGCTGGGGCCTCTGTCAGCCCCTCTGGCTCTCAAGGTCTTGTTCTTTGAGCAGAGCAGGGCTTTCCCAATTCCATCACTATGCCTTTTCCTCTCCCCAACAAGAGTGGTTACTCAGAAGCCTCAGCGCATGTGGTAGAAGGAGGAAGACACCCACCTTTACATGTCTTGTAGGAGACCATGAGAGCTGTGCCCTTCTATGATGGGAACTGAAGCAAGTCTTGAATGCCCCCTGACCCCCATGTCATATCATAGCAACTAGCTTCTGTTGAGTTTTCCTGAAGATACTGTCTCAGTGACCCGACTGAGCAGTGGTTCTCCATCTTGGCCTCTGGGCTAGCTGCAGACATACCTAGGAACTCTGCCCTTAGAAGCCCTGTGGGAGACTGGTTAGAAGTTGAGGTCCATCTACTGGGTCCCCTCAACCACCCATGGAGTTTAATGTCCCATTTTGCAGTCATGGGGAGAAAGGAATACTCAAGAGGTGTACTTGGCTAAAGGGAGCACTCAGCAGGAGGGAACTCTCAGCTTCTCCTTGTGTTGCTCTATTAAGCAGACATTGTTAAGAACAGGTGTGTCTCCCATCTTCCAGATGGAGCCTTGTGGAGGTTATAACAGAGCCAGCACCCATGGTTTATAGAACATATGACTTGACTAGTGTAGTCAGCTAAAAGATATGGAAGATTCTTACAGGTCCCTGTCCAGTGCCTAGCCTGAGGAAGGTAATTATCACCTATTCATTGTCTCATATTTCAGTCTCCTAGGTGTCAGCAGCCAATGTCCACTTGAGATGCTTCCCTGCTCCCTGCTACAGTCTCCCCATAGGAGAAGCTATAAACCACAGTACCCCATCAGGGTGCCCTAAAGGAGCACAGAATCAGGATCACAGCTAATGTTGGCAGTAAAGCAGCAGGGCTGGCTTATCTTTGCCAAGCCACAGCTTGCCTACAATCCCATAGTTTGGTACACATTTCTTTGGGGACACTACTTTTTCTTTGTATCTATGTGTGAGACAGTACTTTCTGAGAACTACTTTGCCACAGGGGAAAAAGAGCCCAGCTAATTTTGTCTAGAATGATTGGGCTCTGAGAGTCACAGAAGCATTGGGGAAAGGAAGGATAAATGAGAACATCATTCCACCATCAGTCCGTACTTTGTGGCAAATGGATACATGTCTTACACCTGTTGTTGCAAGTACAAAGAAGAAGGCATTTTCACAATAAAATAAAAAAAATTTTAAAAAGACTAAGAAGAAGAAGGCATGGTCAGAGGGCTCCAGGCACAGAATCTGACATTCAAGTCCCACCTTTTGAGTTTAGGGGGCACCTGTGTCATGTTTAACCAGATAAACTGAGAAATCTAAACTTTGTAGCTTCACACCCTCAGGTTATCATGAGAGTGACCTTGTTCTTTCAAGAAATAGCCATTCCAGTTTCCTCCTCACTCAATTTCTACCCCTGGCTCTGTCCCCTCCTGTTGATTCCTTCTCCAATGGCAAAATTTAGGTTCATCCAAAACCCTTGAAAGAGTAAATTCCAGGGACATTCTGTTTTTTCTCCTTTCCTAGGTAGCAGGCCCTGCTGCTATGGTTCCAGATGATGAATTTATTCATGGTGGCAGGTGTATCGGATGAAACTAAAGAGATTGGAAAATTATGTAAAATGTTTGAGAATGTGCGCACTTGTGCTTACATTTAATGGGCCCATTTTGAAAAGTCCCTGAACCCTGAAGCCAAGACAAAGTTTGATATCTCCGAGGCTGCATGTTTAAATATTTGTGATTCAGAAGAGCCTGATTCTGCATGTTTTCCTCCCTCCTGTCCCTTCCTGGGTTGTCTCCCGGTGTGCAGGCACTTTTCTATTCATTTCCTTCATGACTTAAATGGTGGCGGTTGCATCTGCACTGCAATCATTCATCCTGAGTCTTAGGATGATATTATCCAGAGATAAGTGATGGGGCCTTCATTTTACAGGTGGAAAAATTAAGAACTGCATAAATTAGACTGAGCTAAGGTAGCAGTTGAATCTATAGTGAGCTGCACTTCCCCTGACCCTCTATTCCCCTTGTCTTTTCTTCCTAAAACAGTCTCCTTACAGTGGTACTCTTCATGTTTGGACAGGATAATTTGTTCTGGAGGGGACAATGGGGGCTCTCTTGCATATTTTAGAATGTGTAAAAACATCTTCCCTTACCTCTACTCATGAGATGCTAATAGCACCCTACACACATGCACACACGCTCAGGCATGCACGTGCTCGCACACGCACACACACACACACACCCCAAATAGTAACAGCCAAGATATCTTCAGCCACTGCCATGGAGAACCTCTACTTTTCCTAGAGTGTTTGAAACCCTTAGGCATCAGAGACTTAATTAATTGGTCAGAGATGGCTTTAGAACAAAAGGTTTTTTTTTTTTTTTTTTTTGGTCGGTCGTGGGGCTTGAACTCTGGGCCTGGGCGCTGTCCCTCAGCTCTTCAGCTCAAGGCGAGCGCTCTACCACTTGAGCTACAGCACCACTTCCGGTTTTCTGGTGGTTTATTGGAGATAGGAGTCTCACGATCTCTCCTGCCCGGGCTGGCTTTGAACCGCGATCCTCAGATCTCAGCCTCCTGAGTAGCTAGGATTACAGGCGTGAGCCACCAGCGCCCGGCAACAAAAGGTTTTTTTAAAAAAAAAAATTAGATTTTTCTGATTCTTCACCAGAGTGAAGAATTTCTTTTGCAGAATCAGATCCCAACTCTCAAGGCCTGAGTGTCCTGATCAATGATACAGAACTGAAATACTATACATGACTCACATAACTGTGAGACTGAAATCTGGTAATCTGTACAAAGTGTCAAGCAGTGCCTGGTGTATAGCAGATTGCTCTATAGGAATGACTTGTTATTGTGTAAATTATTCCTAGCTTTCATCTCCCTTTATCTCTCCGCCACTCAAGTACAAGAGGGGAGTCTGGAGTCTGAGCATCCCAGATAGCCTCAGGATTTGCACTTAGGATCCTGAGATGTATGAGGGAATGATTCAGATGAGCAGAGGTGGGAACAAAGTGTGGTCAGGTAGAAAGGTCAGGTGGAGTTAGCTCTTTTACAGAGGAGGGCCTGGGCATAGTGTATGACAGCCCTAAGAATCCCACAAGTGTGCCAAGCCGAGGACTAGGATTTCTGAGATTCTAGAGGAAGGCTTAGTCCTCATTCTGGCTTTGGAGTGGGGAATGTTCAAGGAGGAATGAAGGTCAGTACATCCAAAGAGTTCCTGGACATGGATGGAGGCTGTTGGATGATTAGGTTCAACCCAGGTGATGTCAGGAGATGGGGTAAGGAAGATGGCCTGGCAAGCCGGTAGTTCAGTAGCTGAGCAAGACAGTGGGGGTGTCTTGTAGCTATGCTATGAGAGCAAAGGCTGGTAAAGACATAGCTGGCTTTCAAGAATTCACTCGTATCATTATTACTATTTATTGTCTTTAAGTCGTGATACAAAGGGTTTTCATGCCAGCTGATGAGCATAATACAGGCTCATAAATATCACTCTTTCATCAAGAACCCATACTTTGAAGTATTAGGGATCATAGGGATCACCCTTCTGCAGTACTCCGAGGACAGTACGTGGTTGGAGTGGCTGGGAAGGACATATTTCCATTTAAGGAAGGCTGTGCTCCTCAGGAGAGGCAGTAATAAAAGGTATTTACTGTCCTTTCCTTGAGAGGCCATGGTGTTCCATTGAGCTTATCCTACTGCTTCCCAGTCTCTGTCAATGTACACCACATGTACAACTTGCATGGTGCCTGAGGTCTCTAGAAGAGTTGCTTACATCATGGAGGAGCCAATCTGAACCTGCAAACCTGGCCTAGTCAGGAAATGAGTGTCTTTGTCACCTGTAATTCAATCATGGCACCCCACTCAGGAAGCTTGAAGGCTTCCAGAAGGTCCCAGAGGACTTTTCTTGGTACAGTTGGAATGTGATACAACTAGTACTGAAAAATCCAGCTTCCACTTGTGGCATTGCAGTGTATCACTTGACCCAGTACATTTGCCAGGATCACCCAGGATGAAAGGATGGGGTCAGGGTTCATGTCCAGGGCACTTGCCCCAGGCAGCTTAGCTGAGAATATTTATAAGTTTCCCTCAGTTTAGTCTTCGGTTCTTTGGGTGATATTCCAGATGGGACACAGAGGGTTTCGTTGATCCCCTTGGCCCTACTATCACATTGACCATAACCCTGGAACCTGAGACCTCTCATGAGAGCATTTTACAAATTTGGTGGGCCAAGACTTCTTTGTCAAGAGATCTCTGATGGTGGTTCATCCTTCCAAGGGTCTATTCCCTCCTTGCCTTATTTTACTAGTTGTCACTTTCTCCTTGCTTGGTAGCAGGGGACTCACTGTTTGCCCATTTAAACCAATCACCATTTCTCTTGTCCCCAAAATGTAATTGAAAAAAGCCTTAATGGCTTCCAAATGATGATAGCTCCATAAACCGATTAAAAAGGCTTTAATAAAACTGTCTGGAGTTATTCTCCACAGCTCACACAGTGCCCTTTGTTTTCTAATGATGTCTATAGGAAATAAAGGTCAGTCTGTCTTTCTTTCTTTCTTTCTTTCTTTCTTCCTTCCTTCCTTCCTTCCTTTCTCTTTCTTTCTTTCTTTCTTTCTTTCTTTCTTTCTTTCTTTCTTTCTTTCTTTCTTTCTTTCTTTCTTTCTTTCTCTTTCTTTCTTTCTCTTTCTTTCTCTCTTTCTCTCTTTCTCTCTTTCTTTCTGTATGTTTGTATGTGTGTGTCCTTGAAGCCCCTAGAAAGCTTGCATCTCTTTTCATGTTCATTCTGTGTTCCTTTCCCCACAGACAATCCATGTTGCTATCGTCTGTGCCGGATACAATGCCAGCCGGGATGTTGTCACCTTGGTCAAGTCTGTCCTCTTTCACAGGTAAGAGCTGCCTTCACTCACTCTCTGCGAGAGCAGTGCATATACCTGGGCACTTGCACATCCTTTCTCAGGAAGGGGAAGGAGACGGGATAATCATGATATTTAATGTTTATCTGTGAAAATGGAACAAGGAAACTTGAGGAGACTGAGGAGAGAACCGAATAGTTGACTCTGATCAAGATCCATTGTACACATAAATGGGCACGTTAAACTGACGGCCCTTTTTACATCTATTTGAAGATAGCAATAACAACATTTTTAAGAATAAAAAATACTCACTTGCCACTCAAGCTTCCATACATGAAAATATAATTTTGGTCTAGCGTTCTGGGGATGACACATTTGGATGACAGTGTTTAGTAGCAATGGTCTGATACTGTCTTGCCACATTGAGATTTGTAGCTCTCAGACCTCAGGTTGGTAGGCTTCATGGCAAGTCCAAATTAAATGTTTCAACTTCTCTGTTGGCCTCTATTGCCTCTCTTTTTACACAGCCCCCTGGAGGAGGTGGTGCTGTGAGCTGCATTGTGTCCAACCCAGAATTCATGTTTTGAAGTCCTAACCTTTGGCATTCAAAATGCAATTATATTTGGCAATAGGGTGTTAAAGAAGTGACTAAATTAAAATAGAGCCATGGGGTGAACCATAGTCTGCTGTGATTAATGTCTTACAAAACAAAAACGAACAACAGAGATTAGGAGAGTCAGGTACAGAGGGAAGACCATGTGAACATGCCGTGGGTACCCTGCAAAACAAGGCGGGTACCTTAAAAGATCTCAAATTTCCAACAGTAAGAAAATAAATCTCAGGGTCTCTGCCACCCAGTCTGTGGTATTTCGCTGTAGTAGTGCCTTAAAATGAATGCAGGCTTCTTTCTCTGTTTTAGTATGGCCACTCCTGCTTTATATTAAACAGAAATGTGCCCTCTTCTTAGATGCTATCCATTGATCTCGTGATTCTTTCCCTCAGGACCAGGAAAAGGACTGTCATGCCTCTCAGGTGTCATCTCTTCTTGATGTCAAATTCCTATCTTTTATATCTGATCAGATTTTCTTCTTCCCCTATTTTGATATCTAGATATACTCAGGGTCATGTCCAGGATTGATTCCAGCCAGTATCCTTGTCTCTGCTCTACTTTCTTATCTGGGTTTGGGTGAAGTTCATCCACAACTGTAGCCAGTAGTTGGAAAGGTACATTAGATGACCAAGTCAGAGTTCAAAAGTATCCCACATTCCTGTTCACCTGAGCAGAGACCAGGCTAATGTATAAAATTTGATATCAGCCATCAGTGTTGTAAACAGAGTTGGGAACAGTGGTGGACATTTAATATCCACTACTTCTGCAAGAAACTAGGATACATTTATTTTTATTGCTTTGTTGCTGAATCCCCCAGGCAGTCTATCTGTTGTCAACACCTAGTGGTTCTTGGTCTTAGATGTCTTTCAGTGCCACCCCTTCCTCTCCATCCTGCACACACCCCAGTTCGTTCACTTTTCTGCCCCCCTTATTTCTGCCCTTCAGATCCATCCTCTTTGAGTTCAGAATGATACTTTGGACAGGTCTCTGGGTGATCCTCTGCATGCACATTAAATATTGGGTTCTGGTGGTCTGCATACTGGTTTCTCTTGTCTTCATGCCCCATCACCCTGGCCTGTCTATAGTTCCCATTTTCTCCATCATATACCCTACTTCCTCTTCTGCCTGCTTCTTCCTCTCAATCTGGTAGACCCTGCCTCTCACCCTTAAAGACTTTGCAAAGCCATCATATTCAACAAGCAAGAAGCCCACTTGAAACTCTCAATCTGTACTTCTCTTCTCCTTGCCCTCCTTGCCCTCTGCATCTTTCTGACCTTTATTGCATTAATCCCTACATAGTTCCCCATGACATATCACCTGAGCAAAACACAGCCCCTTGGGGGACAGAAGCAGTGGCTTCTTTTTCTGTACCCCAGACATCAGAGAAAAACTATCAACCGTATACTATATTCTAATATATTTTCACTTGTTTAGTAAGTATATTACTAAAGAATCTAAAGGTAATTTTTCCAATCAGATAATAAAGATTCCCAGCCCAGACTTTTTTCAGTTTCATATCCATGCCACTGTAGCGAGGCATTAGCAGATCATTGAACTTTTTTCTTTTCTTTTTTTTTTTGGCAGGGGAGGGGGGGTGTTGGTCATGGGGCTTGAACTCTGGTCTTGGGTGCTGTCCCTGTGCTCTTCAGCTCAAGGCAAGTGCTCTACCACTTGAGCCACAGCGCCACTTCCAGTTTATTGGACTTTCCTGCCCAGGCTGGCTTTGAACTGTGATCCTCAGATCTCAGCCTCCTGAGTAGCTAGGATTATAGGCGTGAGCCACTGGCACCTGGCATTCACTGAACTCTTTAGTTCTTATACCATTGAGTTTTTGCTGTAAATCCATTTGCTTCAAAACGTATTTTGTTTTTAACAATGTTTATTATTGAAGTCCAGGTACGGCTCTTTGTCTGAACCCCTTATACAGACAGCCATGTTTAGCTAACTGCTTAGCCAAGCATCCAGTCTGCTGACCTCCTATTGTGGGAGGCTGGAAGGAAGTATACAACCAACACATATAAACTCCATCAATTAACAGCAAGGCTGTCACTTCTTGTAGCTCTGTAGTTCAAGTTGGAACTGTGGTTTCAGTTGTATATCAGAAGACGGCTAAGGGATGTCCAGTAAAGATTGGCCAAGTGAAGTTTGATCCTCTATCTGCTGATTTCAGGCAAGATGTCCTTTCTCCACAGTGATAGCGGCTGTGCTGTTTGGCGGCTTCCTGCAGTTCTGCAATCTTCATCTGCTCAGATACAAAAACTGTAGGCTGAGCACTGAATTAGATGGGTGGTTTTAGCCTGTATATATTTATTTTTGTTCTTCATTGAAGATTTCCAATTTCCTGCCAGGTATGTGGGGGACTACTCTTTTAGAGAAGGGTATTTGCATGATTATAGCTTTTATAAATTTATAATTATAAATTTTATGAATTTATACTTATAAATGTTAAGGATATGAAAACTACTGGTATTATTGAGAGTACATTTTATTATTCCTGTTGCTTTAGCTACAAATCCTATAATCTAGTAGTTGTTAAAATTGTTAAGAATTCTGTTGAAGGTAAACTTCTACTCCTACAGCTCCCACAGACACAGTGGAGACAGAGATGTTAGATTTAAAAGCAGCAGTTTTATCATCAGCTGCTTTGTCAGGTCACATTTTTGTGCAAGCACAGGAATTTGATAAGGCAGCTAATTATTAAGGTAGTTATGAAAAGTCTGTATTTCATTCTAATGACTACTTGATCTTCTTGGACCAAGTGACCATGTCCTTGACCAAATGACCTTGTCCTTGATGTTGTATGAAGAAGTGTGATTCTGTAAATTGATATGCTGGTGACAACTCAGTTGAGCTCTTAAGACAAAAGGACATTTGAAAGACTTTCCACTCAGAAGTCCAGCTATAAATAACTTCACTGTCTCCCAAGCACGTTACTGAGATTAACTAAGATGTGATTATAAAATTTGTTCACAAATGGAGTACTTTCCTAATGTTAGTAATAATAATAGTAGTGCAGGATGCTCCTTTTGGCTTTCACTGTTAATTACAGTAATTAGATTTATTTTTCAGAACAAGATTTTCTGCAAATGTTCGCTTCAGGTTTGTTTTGTTACCTCAAATCAGTCTTACGTCTGTGGAATGTTTGGTAGCAATGAGCAATTGAGTTTTTAAAAGTAGAGAGTTACATGTGCCTAGTTGTATGCAGTGCTGCTGGCATTGGAAATGCTTATAGCCTTTTAGAGGGAATTTTAAAGTACATGCCAAGTCCCTTGACCTTGTGTGACCTGTCTTAAGGACTCTTGTTTTAAACAGATCAGCCTAAGTATAGAAATGTGAAATACTTCTATAAAATACTGTTTATAGACATAACACTAGATAACTCTTGAAAACATCAAGAACAATGGAACATACTTTTACAAGAAAAACGTGATTATTTTGCTTTGAAACTATCTCATAACATGGAGAGATGCTTATGATATAAAATAAGTGAAAATTCAGAACAGGAAGCATGCAATGTATTTCAGAATATGTATTTATACATGTATGGTGTGCCAATGCTAAGGATGGAATATCAGCATACATAAAACTATACATAAAGCAGGGAGCCTTTGAAAGTTGTATTTAGGTGTAAGGAATAAAAGTAAGTTTTTTTCTGTCATATATTTTGGTTCCTGTCATTTTGTGACCTCTAGAGTGAAGAAAAGGTATGTGATGAAGATATGAAATATAGTTAAGGGGTATTTATGAGTTATTACAAAATAGCACAGTACATGTCTGTGTCTCTCTGCTGAAAGGCTCCTGGTGGGGTGGGGTGCAGACTTGTGAAATGCTTGTAAACCCCATTCCCAATTGCAACTAACTGAGAAATATGGCTCCCTTCAAAGATATTCAGCACTTGCTGATCAGAGAAAAGAAATACTTATTTACCTATCAACTTAAGTCTTTACCTCCTATGCCAAAAGACGGTAAAAATTTAATAGCTGTTTGCCAGGATGATCAACTAGCTGTTCCCAAGTACATTCCTGTTGGCAGCAGTTTCTTATTGTATAGATATTTTTCTTTTAAATCCTACTGCTAGCATTGCACCTGGGGAATGAAAGCATGTTTGCAGCCAGTAAATACACTAATTATCTTCTTGCTGATTCTGGCTTAACCATATGACAGAAGTAGTGTGTAAGCTATAGGACAGGACCATTAGGTATGACTAAGACTTAAGGAAGTCAGCTTAACTTCAGGTTCCACTTCTGCCTTGTGTGAGCTGGTGAACCCACAATCACTGGGCTTCTTGAACTGTTGGCATATTCTTCCAGTTTTCACATAACCCTGTTTTTAATATGGAAAGACATATTTGTACCTTACATAATTAGCAAATTCTAAGGTAGTCTTCACTATGCAACTGATTCTGTTCTATGTCTTTACATGT